GACAGGTCCGGGTATTTTTTATATTGAATTAACTTGAAGATAGCACATAAGAAAAGGATCGTATTTACTAACGTTTCGGCCGTGGCACGGCCTTCGTCAGAGTAAGTAGGTATGATACAATGCAGCCTTCTTTATAGGCTCACGTGATGAACTCTCGGTGTAGCAGCTAGGACAATCAAAGTAAAAAAATGGTAATCTGTCAGGACCTTGTGTTGACATGACTGACATGTGACGGGTGCATGAATATAAAAGTTTCAAATTTCCTTGCGCATCGACACGTGGGGCACAGTATGGTTGGCAGGACATGTAAAAGAGCTCAGAAGTAAAGAAACCACGGTTGACTAATATACAATTTAATATACACTAAAATATTTTACTAATCTAAGAAGTCGTGTTGTTATAGTGCGAGGCAGGTGAGCTTTCCTACGTTTTCATTGATACCTGAACGAATGGTGTTAAATTTGTGGATCAAGAAGGATTCTCTCACTTCCCTATCGTGATTTGTCTTAAAACCGGACTGAATAATCGTGGCCCTAATTTTGTCGAAACCATGGCCAGGCATACTGACGTGCTTCGACAGCGGTAGATAAGGGAGGCTTACGGCATGTGCACGGTGATTATTAAAACGAATTCTGAAACTTGTCTCTGTTTGACCTATGTACTGAGCACCGCAAGTTGAACACTCGAGAAGATAGATGACGTTGATACTATCACACGTGTAGTTCCCATTTATCTTTAAAGAAAAACTGGACGATGTACTTGAAACTGTTTTAGATGTCGTCATGTGCGCGCACACTTTGCAACGTGGTTTGTTGCAGGGATGACAGCCTTCATGATGTGAACACGTGGTTTTAGATGAGGTTAGTAAATCACGAAGGTTCCGCGATCGTCGGTAGACCACGCGTGGTTGTTCTGCAAAGATTCCTTTGAGCCGCTCGCTCTGTATTAAAATGTTAAAATGTTTCTTTAAGATATGGTTCACATTTGGAGCTGAGGCCGCATGTGTCAAAATTAGATTAGTCCGCGAACAATCTTTGGGTCTTTTGTTAGTACTCAGGAGGTCTGAACGGTCAAGCTCTTCTGCACGTTTGATGGCGTCTGTGATTATGCTGGCCGGATAGCTCTGTTTTTCGAGCACGCTCCGAAGTTGTTCGCAGTGGCGGGAAAATTCGCTGCTATCAGAGCATATTCTTTTAAAACGAACTGCTTGGCTGTAGGGAATACTAGTTTTGTTGTGTTTCACGTGACTACTACTAAAGTGAAGATATTGCTGCCTATCCGTGGGTTTCCTGTAAAGATTAGTTATCAGCTTCCCGTTACGTAGAGTGACCATGACATCAAGGAAGCTTATGTTCACAGGTGAATATGAGTGCGAGAAAGAAATCGCCGGATGGGCGTTGTTAAGATCTGCTATGAAAGAAAGAAGTTGCGATTCACTATGGTGCCAGATTAGGAAAATGTCGTCGATGAACCGCTTATAGTAAAATGGCTTATATTCACAATTTGCAAGAAATTTGTTTTCAAGGAGCCCCATAAATATGTTTGCGTAGTTTGGTCCGATTCTTGTGCCCATAGATGTACCGCTAACTTGAACATAATGTGTCCCATCAAATTCGAAATTGTTAAGTTCAAGAATGAGCTTAAGCAACGTAGCTAACGTAGATGCGGAAACTGGTTTGTTGGCGTGGCAATCGTTGTACGCGCAGATAACTGCCTCGATGCCATCTGAGTGAGGGATAATAGTATACAGTGACGTGACATCTAACGTAACGAGAAACGAATTTTGAGGAACCTGTAGGTCAACAATATCTGATAGAAAGTGATTGGTATCTTTAATGTAAGAAGAAAAGCTGGACGGAATGGTGTTGATGAGGCCATCTACATAACGGGAAAGGTTCTCAGTCACTGTTCCAATTCCAGAAATTATCGGTCTACCGGGATTATCTCTCTTATGAATTTTGGGAAGAAGGTAAAACCTGCCAGCTACTGGGCTCAATGGTATGAGGGATTTCAGAGTGCCATAGCTTATTTCTTTATCATTAAAGAGCGCAGTCAAGGTATCACGAACAATATCTTTGAACTCGTTTGTTGGGTCATGATCTTTCCGCTTGTAATATGATGCATCACTGAGCTGCCTATGGCCTTCGCTGATATATTTGCTTCTGTCCATTACAACAATGGCGCCTCCTTTATCTGCAGGTTTTATAATTATGTCATTACGACCAGTGAGGGATTCAATTGCTTGTTGCTCTCTGTCAGTAAGGTTGCGGTGCAATGGTGTACGTTCTTTATATGCCTGCATGACATCGCGTTGTACAGCTCTGATATAAATGTCCAGACATTTGTCTCTTTGGGAGGGGGGTGTCCAATGCTTGTAAGATGGCAATGATGAGCTATCGGTATTGTGAGCCGAGGACCGATCATAAAAGTACTCACGGAGGCGCATGTTACGTTCGAAATTGTGAAGATCCTTCACCAACTGAAATTCACTATAGCCTCCTGTTGCAGGGCAAAAATTAAGTCCTCGAGATAACACACTACGTTCCTCAATTGATAGATCGTAACATGACAAATTTATAATGTTATCCTGTCCAGAAGATTTACTTTCCAGCTCGGGCTGGCGCATTTCAGCTGTAGTTAGAATGTTTCCTCGTCGGGAGCATTCCTTTTTTTTCTAAGTTGTCACGCGCGATCTTCTTTGACTTTTTAGCATCCAGCTCGGCTAACTTCTGTGACCGATATAATTCGAGAGTTTTTAATTCTTCGGTCGTAAACTGAGAGGATTGCACAAGCTGTTTTTCCTGATTCCGCAGACCTTTTTCTGATGATTCATAATGGCCAATAAGTATGCTGGTTAGTTCAACAGACGCCCGATTTAAAGTGTTGTGCCACCTTGACAGGTTTTTCTTTGACATCTCTGATGTGGCCGGCTGCAGTTTTAGTTGTAAACCTTTAGGAGCACTTGTTGCCGCGACATAGATTCTAAGCATAGAAATGTGCGATTCACAACGAGTCCGTTTTTCTATAACCTTCCTGGTCCTTAAAAAATTCATTGAGCCAACAGATAAAGTACTCTCACTTAGCTGGCGTTGTGTTAGTCAGTTGGTTCCTCTCGTGGTTGTGCCCCTGTTCCGGAGTCCGTAGCGTGGTTGAGACGGCGAAAGTGATGCAACGACCGCAGGCGGCGGTAGGCAAGACGTAGGCTGTGTAGATTGAGACTTGTTCATGTGGGCGCGCGATGCTTTCGAGGTGACGTTCTCTGCTACGGAAGGCTTGCTCGTCATGGTGAAGGTTGCTGTCGGCGCGGTGTTGTTTCTTGAGTTCGGCTGTGCTGTAGGATGACTGGGTGCTGAAGGTCGCCCAGCTCGATCCACTCGATGCGGAGAGTCGTCATTCGTTGATGAATCGCACCAGGCAGCTGATGTCGCATCCACCGGTCTCCTGAAGCACAGGCGGCGGATGTGGCTTGCAAGCAACGACACACCCTCGAAGCTCATATGAAGGCCGTCTGCTGCGAGGACGCGTGTGGGTGGTAACCATTCGATTTCATGATCGAGGTAGCAAACTAGCCGGGAATAGCGGCAAAAATTCCGAAGCATGTTGTTGAACACTGATGCTTCTCTGTTGCAGCGTCGGACGAATGTCAGGTTAGAGTTCCTTTGTCGACGGTTTCCACTTCTAGGCAGTATCAGCGTGGCGTAAATTCGCCGAATTTCTGGGCGGTATTTTGCAATGCTTTTAAGTAGATCGCGGTACTTTGCAAACGCCTCGTGTCCCGAACACGAAGCCACATCGACCGTCCCAACATGAAGAATAAGAAAGGATGCTGAGCGGGGCACTAGACCCAGTAAGTCACGCACATCACCGATTGTAGCACCACACTGCGAAATGAAGGCTGGTGCGCCATTGCTGAGGGGGTCGAAGTATTGATGTTATATACTTTGTTTGTGAATCTCCCACAACTGCTGTGGTAGGAGTGTGCACAGGGTATTTCGAAATCATCGTTTTCTTCAGTGCTGTCATTTTCTTCAGTGCTAGTAAAGCTCACCTGCCTCGCACTATAACAACACGACTTCTTAGATTAGTAAAATATTTTAGTGTATATTAAATTGTATATTAGTCAACCGTGGTTTCTTTACTTCTGAGCTCTTTTACATGTCCTGCCAACCATACTGTGCCCCACGTGTCGATGCGCAAGGAAATTTGAAACTTTTATATTCATGCACCCGTCACATGTCAGTCATGTCAACACAAGGTCCTGACAGATTACCATTTTTTACTTTGATTGTCCTAGCTGCTACACCGAGAGTTCATCACGTGAGCCTATAAAGAAGGCTGCATTGTATCATACCTACTTACTCTGACGAAGGCCGTGCCACGGCCGAAACGTTAGTAAATACGATTCTTTTCTTATGTGCTATCTTCAAGTATATATATAATATATATATATATATATATATTATATATATATATATATATATATATATATATATATATATATATATATATATCTGATGAATTAGACAAACTCGCAGCCCTATTCCTACAAGAAGTTTGCATGGCTAATACTAGAATTAGTAGGTTCTTCATTCCAATGTAGCACACCTTTTTATAAAGCTTATTGGTATTAGTTGAAACCTCTGACGATTGGCTACATGCATTCCGTCTATGGGCTTTGACTGGACGCGGAAGGAAACCACAAACAGCAGGCACACGTGCACAGTACTTACATTCAAAACAGACTATGATAATCAATCAAGTAGCCCACGAACGCACTTTGGCCACTTTCATAACATTCTGCTCCCTGGTTGTATAACCTGATGAACCAAGTGTGTCTTGGCCTTCAAGTGTTCCAAGGTTTGTAATATGCTCCGGAATTCTTATTACTGTTGGGTTTTGCATTAGTGTGCTTTAAGCGTTACGCGTAGGCGGTAGAACAGAGAGCAGTCGTACGATGACCACAAGGAAAACACGCGCCGCCACTGCTTCTGTGTGTGCAGGTGCGGGCTATCACATGGCGATCGTGAAAAAGCCGACTTGCGACACGCGCGCCGTGATGGAAGTCGTGATTTCGTTCGCGCCATCGGCCGAGCTCGAGAGCAACGTGGGCACAGAGATGGCGCTGCGCATCGGGCGCTGCGATCAGCCAGCCTTCAAGCACCTCTTCAGTCATCTCGAAGAGAACAAGGAGAAGCTAGGCATCGCCAGCTTTGGTGTCTCCGTCACCACTCTCGAAGAGGTTTTTCTGAGGTACTAACATTGTTCGATGACAAGAAAGGCCACTTTATTGGAAATAATGATCTTGCGGGAGAATGCCTCGGATGCGCGGCTGGTGCGATCTACAGTGCTCACGGAATAAAATGCGTTAATTTAGTAAGGCACGTGTCACCCCCCTCCTCAGTTCGTCTCTCATTGATGTAATACTGGATCATATTTAATCACTTTTAGAGACGCGTTTATTAGCAAATTTGCGTGGTTATCTCAAGCAATCAAGCTCGCCATTTGTTGAAGCCTTTATGTCTAGTTCCAGTCTGTGAGCACTGCACGTACCGAATGGCATGTAGATGAACTGGACTGGTGTGCTGCTTGATACACAATCAGAACAGAAGCCTTTTAAATAAGACGACCGAAGGCAGAATGCCATGTCAGTCATCGTTTTTGCTTCGTTGTGGCCATCGGAACTTAACACACAGCCTTTACATGTGAGTCAGGGTTTCGTCTGGCGACGAAAACTTCATGGCTACTTTCTGGCGACTTTTGAACATCCGTTCTGGCGCATTGAGCAACCTTTCTTTTTAACACTTGCCGATTAAATACACTGTTTCTAAACTTTCCTGTCGTGTCGAGCTGACGCACGCGGACCATCCCACCACCACCGGGCTGACGCGTGCCACGGATACAGTAGCGAAGGTGCATGCATGTTGGCAAACGCGCAGCCCACAGTCTATGCTGATGCTACGCAAAAGTTCCTGGTTATGATGCACAGCGAGTGCTATCGTCCGAATTTCACAAAAACAGAAATCCGCAACAAAATCAAGGTGGGCTGTCAATCTCCAATCAAATTTCATGATCTGAAGCTTAACTAGTGTCACGTAAACTGACACGTATTGAGTGATTGGATAGTTGGCACGAATGTTCTGAAGCTGTTCTGTACCGAGCAAGAACTAATCTCCTACTTGAAATATGTGCAGGCACGGATAATTTATTTATATATTTGCAACGTATGTGTGAAATAAAGGAGAAGACATATTCGGGCTGGTTCCTTATAATTCATTACGTAAATATAGCGCTAAGAATACAAGTACCATGAATGGCACGACAGAGGTGCTGACTCTCATTTAAATAATAAACTTCAAATGAATTTTCAGTTGAGAGTCGGCGCCTGCGCGTCTCACTCCTGGTCCTCGTCTTTTTTAGCGCTGTTGTCCTTACATACTACGACATTAAGCAAGTGGCAAAAGGTCACCCCCTTATTTCTCCGGTCTTCATTGTTGAAATAATATAGGTTATCGTCCAAACATAATTTTAAGGTACTGGTTATTACATTCCAATGAAGAAAATTAAGAAGAAATTTGTTGTTTAGATTTTTGCAAAATATTGCTAATTAGTGCATATTTGAATATTTGATTATTCTGCAGGCAGCATTGTTCAATTTTTAAACTAAAAACGGTAATCTCATCTCAAAATGCACGCGCAGTGCGTTTTTTTGTGTTCATTATAGGCAAAAAAAAAACTAATAGTTAGGAAGTTGGCCCTGAACCGCGGCATGCCGCGATAGGCTGCACTCACACGAAGCACGTTGGTGCGTAATCAAAGCTCAATCTATCCTGTGCGCATCATTTCTTGACCTTTCTTCTCTATTAGTCGGAGGAACTGGCAAAAACAAGTTGCGACCTCATATGTGGTCACTCTGCCTTAAGGGGGTATTTCCCGTTTGTTGGCTCGCAGGGTTGGTGACTACGCGGCCAGAGCAATGTCCAGATTGCGCGTGCCCGAGCCCGACCAACTGCGCGACACTGAAGCCGGTGAGCAGTATTCTTCACTAGCATATTACTCTTTATTTAGGTGGGATAATGGCGAGATTAGATAGATAGATAGATAGATAGATAGATAGATAGATAGATAGATAGATAGATAGATAGATAGATAGATAGATAGATAGATAGATAGATAGATAGATAGATAGATAGATAGATAGATAGATAGATAGATAGATAGATAGATAGATAGATAGATAGATAGATAGATAGATAGATAGATAGATAGATAGATAGATAGATAGATAGATAGATAGATAGATAGATAGATAGATAATGTGGGGTTTAACGTACCAAAACCACCATATGATTATGAGAGACGCTGTAGTGGAGGGCTCCGGAAATTTCGACCACCGGGGTTCTTTACCGTGCGCCCAAATCTGAGCACACGGACCTACAACCTTTCCGCCTCCATCGGAAATGAAGCCGCCGCGTCCGAGATTCGATCCCGCGACCTGCTGGTCAGCAGGAGTACCTTAGCCACTACTAGACCACTGTGGCGGGGCACGGCGAGTTAGCGATACATGTCTTATGCGGGCAGTGCTTGTTCGCTGGCTGCGCAATGATGCATCCGGCGTAGCACAGTCCGTTTCACACTTGAGAGAAATCTTGTAGCGCGTGGCGTCGTGATGCGGCCAGCGGGGCCATGGCACGCCGGCAGCCGCTAGCGCGTGCGCAGACGCTTGAGGGGCATTGTGCTCAACTGTTTAACCGCGTCGTCTGCTATGGCGGCGCGTGGTGGCTGCACTGTCAGGCAGCGGGCGAGTATCGTGGTTTCTGCGGGAACGGGGCCGATATTTCTGATCGTATCAGCGTACGCATCCTGGTCGTCCAAAATGAGCGCCGTCATCGCTGCCGCTGCGCACATGACGGGGTATCGAGGGAAATTGGAAGCTTTCTTCGCGCCTGCATTTCAGCACCGGTGAGTAAGTGCTGCCTCAAGTAATGAAGTAGCATCGAGAAGAAGCAAGTTTCGGTCGTCATCCTAACCTACAGCGTTCCTGAACTCGTTCTCGTTTGTTTGAGTTGAACCCGCATAGCTACACGGCAATCGCCATACAGTGTTTTTTTTTCTTTTTTGAATGAAATAAATACCACGCTCAGCCCGTGCTTATTATGGTATTGCCTGTCACAGCTTACTGTGGTGAACACAGAAAGAAAAAAAACTGCACTGACGCACTCATTTTCACGGCGTTTCGAAAGGGCAGACAACGTATGCCGTCGAACTCTCTTTTTAGAATCCCATTATCGCCAGTGAAAGATGAGAGGCAGGCATCGCACATTGTTTAGTACAAAATATCGGCCTAGTTCCTGCGGCAACAATCAAATCAGCGGGCTGTTCGACAGTGTGCATGGTGTTGAGAAGCCAGCTCCGAATCCCACCGCTGACCTCCACTGTTGAGAAACGACGGACCGATCCCACCGCTGCCACCACTGTTGCGAACGACGGACCGATCCCGCTTCGAAGCCACCACTGTTGCGAAAGACGGCGACGCCAACACGGCCCCGGAGGCGCCACTGCTTTCAACTCCGCCGGGAAGGTCACCAGCCGTTTGGTAGCGTATGTTTATCAGCTCGCGACTGCTTCTGCGCAGAGCTGATAAGACGAGCGGACGAGACGACGGTGAGTTAAACAAGGTTTATGTACAGCATATTTACAGAGGCGTTACAATTTCGGCACTGAGGCCGACAGAGACTCGAAGAGCCGAGCTCTTCTCTCTAACACATAGGTCAGTCTTTCACCTAAGACCGCTGACTCACACACATGTCGGCACTCCGACACGGGGACGCCTCTCACATAGGACCGCCGATCGCGACGCGCCGCAGGGCTTCTTTTATTTACACCGGGTCCAACCAAAATGTCCAATCAGAAGCGCCGCTGGTCGTCAGCGCAGATTCTTCCAATGGGGTTGCCGCGCCATGCGTCAGACCACCTGACACGAGGACGCCGGCTCGCTGTCACGTGCGCAACTGACTCACTGCACGTGGGCCAGAGGAGCGCCGCGCGTGTTCACGCCGTCGAGGTGATCGCGCCAGGCAGACTGCGGGCTGGCCTTGACCCAGATTGCCTTTTTCAGAGGCACGGTCGTTTGACGAGGACTCGCTGGCATAACAGCACCCCCGCCGCCAGACAATGCACCGGAAAGACGAGCTGCTTCCACGGGGCTCGGATGTCAGGTGCGCTCGTTCGCCAGGTCCCTCCAGGTTCGCCTCCAGGGCCATGGGGAGAATACAGCTCCAGACTGTTCCGGGAACACATCCCATTTTTGACGACGGATCCCAGCTCCACTGGCTTGTCGCCACAACTTGCTGGCCAACTTCGCTCGTCTCTTCTGACCATCTTCGGTTTCAGCACTTGTCGATGGTTCTGCAACTTGCTAAGAACGGTTCGACAACAGACAACACACGACACACGCAAGTGCCTTCGGTCACCCGACAGAACACCAGACAAAGTATAGTACAACATATACCTATCTACGTGTCTATCGGAATTTTGTTCCCTCTACATCAAGAGGCACATGTGGGACACAAGACTCTTAAAATGACAACTCAATTTTTTTTCCACGTACAACAACGTAACGAATTAGAATACCACATAAAGTTGGCCCCTTGAGATCACTCTGAACGAGAGCGCTCAGCCCAGGTCGTGATGAGGTCAAAATTTTGCCCCGAATCGCCAGCCAGAAACCTAAAGGTTGAGAAGTTACTAGCTGGAACGCACTGCTCAATGCACCTGCATTAGCGTTTACCTTTCCTTTATTTTTTTTTTTGATAGCGAACGTCAAAGTTGCGCTGTGGAGCAACATGCTCCACTTCAGTAACCGGCCACTTTTAGGCGACGATACCTATGCGGCACCAAGAGCGGCTCACACTTTCGACGTTGCACAGGGGGACAACGATACGGCTTGCTACGGATTGACTCCTCACCGCTTAGCTCGATATCGTGTTCGATCACCCTCATGTTTCCGGGGCAGTCCGAAAACACGTCTTCAAACTCGGAACCAATCTTTCTCAGGTCCTCTTTCTCAGGTCCTCCTTCACTTAAGCTAGGCTCTAGGTTTACCTGCTCCCGGATTACTTTCGATCCCCCTTCGATTACCTCACTAGAACTCAAACTTTCTGCTTCCTCTTCCTCTGAAGCATTCAACAACAGATTTACGACCGCTTGATGTTGAACGTATGGTTTCATCAAGTTGTAAATTTTGTCCGGCCGCCTTCCTAATTTCACTTCATAATTTGAATCGCAAGGCTTCGATAATACTGTGGCGGGCCCTTCCCAATCAACCTCAAGCTTGTTCTTTTTGAACGGCTGCAGCAGCATTACCTGACTCCCTACTTCAAAAGCACGCTTGTTCACCGATTCCCCGTAGTGCTCCTTCGACAGCACTTTTGCCGCGTTTTTCTGGCTTTCCACTAGCGCTTCAATTTGGCTTTCCACTAGCGCTTCAATCGAGAGATCCTCACTCTGCTCTCGACTGAGCGTCTCTCGATCAACTCTCGGCAGCTCGCTCCAACTTTCCGCTACAGGCGAGAGCGTTGCAGCCCTCTCGCTCTGACTCAATGGCGCCATGTCGTCTCCCCTTTCTCCGGAAACCGCGCCGGTCGTGTCGGCGACGGGCCGCTCGCGTGACTGCTCACATGACTCATGCGGAAACTTTCCTTTCTGGGGTTCCGTCGACCCGCCGACAAGGTCACCTGAGAGTTCACCGCATGGAACAAGGTCAAGCTTCCGCGAAAGCTTTCGCGCTTGCGATCGCGTGAGAGCCATGCACGCTAAGTTGGGGAAGAACGATTTGCCCTGCTCTTTGAGAAGCTGCTCCGAGTTGTTGGAGAAAAGATAAGAAAAACGATCATTTAGCGCGGCAGACACAGCTGCTTCGGTGCGAAGCTTACCGAACGGGCCTTCAATGACCACCGTGGCGATTGGTAAGCGAACACTCTGCACCTCGGCGACTTGCCTGATCCACGCGCATTCTCCTGTGAAGTCATCCGGAGACACCAATGAAGGATGGACAACGTCCATGGTTGCCGCTGAGTCTCTAAGTGCTCGGCACGTTTTCTCATTGACCCTAATTTCTTGGAGATACGGCTCCAACAACCGCATGTTTTTTTCTGATTCTCGGATTGTTGCGAAGGCAAATTTTTCCTGACAGTTTCTCGCGATGTGCCCTTCCTTTTTACAGTTGTAGCAGATTAGCGGCTTCCGTTTGTTTTCCGATTCAAATGCTTGTGTGGTAGAAACCTCACTCGATTTCTCCGCTTCTGTTTGCCCTTCCCCTACACTGTCCTTCGTAAGAGACGGGTCCTTCTTGAAATTACGGTGCGGAGCGGGTCTCCGTTGATCAGGTTTCTTTGAAAAGCCCTCTTTTCTCTCATTCTTTTCAACGCGCACTGCCCTGCTGTGCAACTTTCGACGAGTATAATACTCCTCAGCTAACTCTGCTGCCTTGTTTAGCTGTACTTCACCAAGTCTGTCCTGCAGCCAAAGCCTGACATTATCCTCGATGCAGCGGTAGAATTGCTCCAATGCAACGCATTCCACCACTTTATCGCGGTCGTCATAAACACCTTCGCCCTTGAGCCATTCAATTAAATCGGCTTTAAGACGAAACGCGAAGTCAACGTGTGACTCATTCCCCTTTTCAGCATACCGGAACCTTTGCCTGAAAGCCTCGGGTGACAACTTGTAACGTCTCAAGAGCACTTCCTTAACCTCGTCATAGCTCTCAAACGCTTCCCTAGACAAGCAAGTTAATGCGTCGGACACTTCGCCGGGAAGAAGAGCTAACAGGTTCTGCGCCCAAAGAGACCGCTCCAAAGCGTTTCGCTCACAGACGTGTTCAAACTTGACGAGGTACTTCGCCATGTCCTCGCCTACTACGAACGGTGGCAGTTGGTCCCGAATTCTAAAACCGCTGACCTGAATCGTCGGAGAAGCTACGCTAGGCGCCTGCGAACACTGTAGGATTGCCAATTCTAGTCGTTTCATCTCAAGGCGCTCCTGTCTCTCGGCCTCCTCGCGCTCGCGACGTTCGCGCCTTTCAGCTTCTTCGCGAGCTTCGCGCCTTTCAGCTTCTTCACGTTCGCGAGCTTCGCGCCTTTCAGCCTCCTCACGTTCGCGAGCTTCTACTTCTCGCCTTTCAGCCTCCTCACGGCGTGCTTTAATATCCACCCAGGCCTCATCGACTTCCTCAGCCGACACTCCCTCATCCTTCATGATCTCAAGGATCGCTTGCTTTCGTTTCGCACGGCCCAAAGTAATGCCGAGTTCCTCACAAATTTCGATGAGTTCCTTCACTTTAAGGTTCTCCATCGTTCACACTAGCCTCTTGCTGTTTGCCCCTGTTAACAATTTACTTGCCGTACCCACTATAAGTCAACTAGCAAGACGCGCAAGCAACTTTTCACTCTCTCGTGTTTACCCCCTCCGCATTAACTTTGGTTTCAAAGCACTCCGACTTTGCTTGAAACGATCAAAGCTCACTCTAATGCTTCACACAGCCCTTCTCTAAACTACTACAACCTGAGCTAGAGTAGTCTGGTGAACTGAGGGGAAAACATCAGGCACTCACCGCATCGATGTTGCTGACGCCGGCCGATCCCGCAGCTGCCAACCACTGTTGAGAAGCCAGCTCCGAATCCCACCGCTGACCTCCACTGTTGAGAAACGACGGACCGATCCCACCGCTGCCACCACTGTTGCGAACGACGGACCGATCCCGCTTCGAAGCCACCACTGTTGCGAAAGACGGCGACGCCAACACGGCCCCGGAGGCGCCACTGCTTTCAACTCCGCCGGGAAGGTCACCAGCCGTTTGGTAGCGTATGTTTATCAGCTCGCGACTGCTTCTGCGCAGAGCTGATAAGACGAGCGGACGAGACGACGGTGAGTTAAACAAGGTTTATGTACAGCATATTTACAGAGGCGTTACAATTTCGGCACTGAGGCCGACAGAGACTCGAAGAGCCGAGCTCTTCTCTCTAACACATAGGTCAGTCTTTCACCTAAGACCGCTGACTCACACACATGTCGGCACTCCGACACGGGGACGCCTCTCACATAGGACCGCCGATCGCGACGCGCCGCAGGGCTTCTTTTATTTACACCGGGTCCAACCAAAATGTCCAATCAGAAGCGCCGCTGGTCGTCAGCGCAGATTCTTCCAATGGGGTTGCCGCGCCATGCGTCAGACCACCTGACACGAGGACGCCGGCTCGCTGTCACGTGCGCAACTGACTCACTGCACGTGGGCCAGAGGAGCGCCGCGCGTGTTCACGCCGTCGAGGTGATCGCGCCAGGCAGACTGCGGGCTGGCCTTGACCCAGATTGCCTTTTTCAGAGGCACGGTCGTTTGACGAGGACTCGCTGGCATAACAATGGCCAGCGTGCACCACCGTAGCAAACAATGTGTTTTGAATAGCATGCTCCTCAAGCGTCCACGCATGCGCAAGCTGTTGCCGGCGCATGCGTGGAGAATTTGGAGAAACTTCGTGAAACATTGAGATACCAGGGCTGAATGACGCGTGGCGTCATCGTGACGTCACAGATCGCCGAAATGCGGTGCGCCGTAGAGCCAAGTGGTGATGGCATGATCTGATGACGTCGGCCGTGACATTGTCGCTTCTAGAAAGGTGAGCCGGGGAGGTAGTGAAGCAAAGGTAATTTAATGAGCTTGCGTTTTCACCTACTTTCTCCTTAGCATTAGCGGAATGAACTTAAAATTTATTTGCTCGGTTACCGAGACTGACCATTTCGGCATAGGCGCCGCTTCGTGTCCCTCCTTTTGGAGCTCAGATTATCGTTTAGTTTCTCCAGAAGCCCGAGGAGGGGCAAACGTAAGAAACATACTGAGCAGGAAACTGAAGGCTCACATAGAGCGTTGAACTTCAATTGAGGATGACGCGGCTAGAAATGTGTAACCTTAAGAAAGCGCAATGGTTCGGGAAACAAATAGGTATTAAAGACATCGTCAAAATCAAGGAGAAATACGCAAGGACCAGACACGTAGCACGTAGGCAGGAAACGCGCGAGGAGACAAGGTTAGGTGTCAATATTACTTAGGTTTGTGGGTATAACGTGGCAGCAGCAAGCACAGGACCGGGTTTATTGGCGGAGCATGGGAGAGGCACTTGTTCTGCAGCGGCCGTAGTCAGGCTGATGATAAATGGCGCGAAGGGGACGTACCGTCTTGGCCCAATCCGGACCCTGGTCCTGCACCTCAGGCTCCGAGCTACATAAAAAATCTCGATGCACCTCTGTTCGTCACAGACACGCTTCTGGGTGCGTTGAGCTTTTCGGATTCATTGCGGCACGGCAGCCCGGAGGATGGCAGCGGGCCTCCACGGCGCAACGGCGGCTCGCGGCTCCTGCTGCAGCAGACGTGGGGCATGCTGGTGCTGCACTCTCTGCACAGCCGGCGCAACTGGGCCTTCACGCTGTCGCAGCTGCTCGTGCCGATATTCGTGGTCTCCTTCACGCTCACCTGGATCGACAGCCTGCCCAAGGTGCACAAGCCGGGACCCCGCGTGCTCGACGTCAACCTGGTGTTCTCCAGCGACGCACCGTACGCTTTCCACGGAGGGGCTTCCGCCTCACTCGCCAAACAATTCAAAAAGCAGTTCTCCAGCAAGGTACAGTGCCTTAGAAGTTACTGGGATATGGATTTTTTTTTAATAGGAATCCTTCCGGAAAACGCAGTCGGGTAAAGTCAGCGAGTTATGAAACCAAAATTTTTGTGCTGATAAAATGCAATGAACTCACACAGGGTATAGCATACTGGGGATCATCGGGAGAGGCTTTTACCCTGAAGTAGACTAAATATAGGATGAAAACGATGATGATGAATGACGAATGGGAAGCCAGCAAAGCTGCGAATATGGTGCGTCTAGTAGAGTAAATAGTGTTGCCATACTGAGTTTACAAATTTGAGTGAGTTAAGAGACATATCTGATGACATAATATCTCCTCAATGGCAGCCAGTAGTGGTCTCAAAGAAGCCCCGCTGTTTTGAAACTAAAAAAAAAAGGCAGGACGTCCATTGCTTATGCAAGTGGTCTTCCCTATGAGGCAAATATTTTTCACGTCAATCTGCCTTGTCAGTGGAGCCATGCACCTTTTGCCTGCTGACGTGATCCCACAGAATCAAGCTGTGTACGTATTCATTGGAAAAATAAGAGAGAGAAAAGAAACGTGCTGTTTCCTGTAGCGATATTCGGAAATAATTTGTAATACGACCTGGAAGCATTTCACTTAAGCGAGAGGATGATTGCATGATTTCCTGGTTAATATTATCTCGTGTTCAGTTCTAGAACAATGATATGATGAGGGGATGCCGTAGTCATGGGCTCCGGTAATTTCGACTTCTAGGGGTTGCTTAACGTGTGTCTAAATCCGAGTACAAAGATTTCAAGCGTTTTAATGTCCATTGAAATTGCAGCCTCCGTTGCTGAGATTCCTGTTACGCTCGGTTTAGCTATCTATAGTTGCGTAACAATTATGCCACCGTTGTGGGGCCGTGTTCTATCAGTTCTTCAATCCATCTTCTGAGAGATATAAATTTTATTTATTTATTTTATTTATTAGATCCAAAGTAGCTTAAAGGGGCCCCGTAACACTTTTTGAGCATGGTAAGAAAACGCTTCCGTTTGGTATAGAGGCTCCCGATAACACGCGAGCCAAATATAGGGGAGCACGTGGCCTAGAATTCGAAGTGAATTATCAATGTCGGCTAAATACTTCTTTTTCTTCTCTCGACAAATGAAACAAGATGCTCAAAAATCGCTCGTAGAAAGCCATCTATCAGCCATTGGCTGATTTCAACATGGCGCGATCGGTCGTTACAGAGATCACCGCGGAAGGCCGCTACTTGTCCACGCGTGCGCGCGTGATTCGAAAAAAAAAGTGCTCAAGGTCACGAGGCCCGCGTGATGTGTTTTCTTTGCCTCTGCCATCACTCCTTGCTTAGCTTACAGTGCTTTCGTCGGCACGAGAGAAGAGAATGCAATTGCAGCATGCGACAAATCTTTGTAACTCCACTCTTTTGCGGCGTTGAATTCGTGAGACAATAAGCTGTTTCAGTGAATTCATTTCATGGTTACTTGAAAAAGTGTTTGAGCGCCTCTTTAAGGTCGAGCTCAATCCGGTGTGCGGCGTGGCCATCTTTACTGCGCACGTGCGTCTGCTTCCCATCTCTCTTCCCTTAAGTTCCCGATTGATACGGGGGGTTTAACGTCCCACAACCACCATATGATTATGAGAGATACGTTCCTATACTCTGCGAACCCATTTTGGTCGAACATTTTAACCTCAGCTTGAAATCACGGCTGCGCGAAGTGACCGGTTCTTAATAGTGCGTAAAGCATCCGAACATGATCACCTTTTACTAAGTTTGCCATCAAATTTGTTTCGGGTGACTGCGTAATTGTGTCGCAATCGTTAGTTTAACACAGCACAACGGGACGCGTCGGTGGGAATACCAGTCAGTGACAGCGTAAATTAAGTTCCCGAATTCCTCGATAAAAGTTACGCATGCACTGGCACGTCATCGTGTCCGACTTTGCCTATCGTTTCTTCTGTGAGTCATTGTTTCAAACGCTATTGATAGAACTCGTCATTAGTGATTTGCAGGTTCATCCTCGCGTGAAAAGAACAACCACCATGGTATTTCGCAAAGTTTGTGCCAAGGCTGTAGCACGCACCTTCGTGAAGGGTTATGGGAGGGAGTACGGCGCGAAGATTTTAAACCAGACGTCAATGAAACTGCCCCAGCTATTTTATCAGCCAGAACCTATAGGAGACAACGTAAGAGCCTTAGAAAATCGCATAACATAATATACGAAAACAATGACACTGCTCACTAATTTCAGAAGCAACTACTTCCAAAAACTTAAAGACGAAGAAAGCCACGGAGATGATAATGATAGCTTTAACGTTAATGAACACGAAGAGAGCAAAGACCGTCAGAGGACAAGTGCATCTTGAGAACCTTTTAATCGCAATCGAGGAGAAATGGGCATGGCAAGGCACATAGCAAGAAGTCAAGGTAATCGCTAGTCTGAGTTGCAATGGTGAAATTTTACAGAAGGCAAGTGCAGTAGGAAGAGTCAGCAATCGAGGTTGGCACACGAGATTAAAGATGTGTGCCTAGCGTTATTGCCGGAAGCACAGGACCAGGTTTATGGGAGAAACATGAAAGACTTCTGCCCTGCAGCGGGCCCAGTCTGCCTGCTGGGAATGACAGTGACTCGGAGTTAGGAGAGAGGTGGATCACCGGGAAAAAGGGCAGTTAACTGAAAAGACTTGACACCTATAAGTATCATGAGTGATGACTCTGCGATCTTTGATGACTGCACAGTCTATTCTGCGTAAAACCAATGTTAGAACTGCTCTCTTCTTCATAGCGTTTCCTTTTTAACACGTGACTAGGAGCTTGACTGCAATCTTTCGTCGGCGACATTGGCGGACTACCGTAAATGAATGGCAAATAGGCAAAAGAAATCATATCTGATAAAAAAGTTAGTTGCTGAAAACGACTCCCGGTTCTTCACAGAAGAAAGTTAACCGTTCTCTTAAAGTTACAGTTCTTATTACAAAACGCGTGGCTTCCCAGAGTGTTCAGTGATTAACAATGGGGTGTCATGTATTTCGAATGTCCCAGTATGTCTCTGCTGTAAAGATCCCGGAGTAGTTTTCAATAATTAGCTTAATTTAATAGACATGATTTCTTTCGCCTCTTTCCCATCCATTCATGGCAGGGCAGCGTTGTTGCCGTCGGGAGATGGCGCCACGAACAGATGTTCACTAAGGTCCCTAGATGAAACGAGTTGTATCTAGGGACCTCAATGTCCACCAAGCCTAGGAAAGAAAGGGAACTTAGCGCGAATAAAAGCTGACGTAAAGAAGATGATGATGATATGTGGGGTTTAACGTCCCGAAACCACCATATGACTATGAGAGACGCCGTAGTGGAGGGCTCCGGAAATTTAGACCACCTGGGGTTCTTTAACGTGCACCCAAATCTGAGCACACGGGCCTACAACATTTCCGCCTGACGTAAAGAAGAACTACCCCAACTCGACTGTGCTTCCCGCTAGGTTACTCCAGTACTGGTGGAGGCGGGAAGCGTGGAAAGCTACCTGGTGAACGCATCTGCGCTGGAAGGCAATAGCTTCCTGACAAGCACGCTGATTGCGGCCAGCTTTGAGGACGAGGCTTCCGGTGGCAACGTTCGCTCAGCGCGGCTGCTGTTCAACAACCAGGTGTACCACACGCCGGCGCTCGCCCTCGCCGCCTACCAGAGGGCGTTGCTGCACGAGACGTTCGACAACGCGTCACTCAAGCTCACCGTGGTCAACCATCCGTTTCCCAGGGTGGTCGAAGAGAAGGTATACGCTCGAGGTTGAGATAAATTGCATTTTAGATGCGGAGCATCTCTTGCTCGCACGTGTGTCACGCGTCATCTGGCGTCCGCACCCACACTACGCATGCGCGACTCCTCTTTCTCTCTCTCCAACAGCTGCGCGTTACTCTCTACCCTACTCTGCTACCATCTGCTTTCGCTCACTTCCCCATTACGCATGCACGTCTCATCCTCTGTCCCCTCTCCTACGCTCATTCGCACCTCCCTCGCAACGCCGACGCAGGGAGATTCTGCTAACGTACGCTCGCTCCCCCCTCCCCTCTAGACATTTCTCCCCAAGACGTCTTGCAAAACCCTCGCAGGCAGCGTCTGCTAGCGCGTTTCTTGGTTTAAAAAACTGACTGCTCGCGCTGCACAACAGTTCACTGGCCACCCCGTTTATATAGGCACTGGATATTGACCTCCAAGGTAGTGCCGGTGAGAGATTTCTCCTGTGAGTTGTTGAGCAATAAAAATTATCAGCGTGCGCGTTATCTAAATATTACACAATTTCCCCGAAGGGAGCCATGGAGTGATGTGGAGCATCGCGGGAGTTTACACGGACGCCGCACGGACTGTCAGATGGCGCGTCATAGTGGCCGTTCACAACACACAACGCTATAAAACTAACATAACGGCCTCAATCAACACCAAATGCACAGCCATAGCTGAAGCCTCAGCAATGGCGATGGCAATCAAACATTTTGACAGCGCCGGGCAGTCAGCATTGGTTATCTCCAATTCTCATGCAGCGTTCAGAGTGTACGTACCAGGGAGATTACGATGAATTGCGCTAAAAATATTAGGCGACCACTCCGTGAAGACCACTCGATCATATGGTGTCCAGCTAATGGGGGCATCCCAGGCAATGAGAGGGCGCACGCCTTCGCTCGATATCTTACATGCAGACTGAGCGGGGAGCCACAGCCCATACCAGGATAGTCCGCTTACTGCGCAAGACATCGTCGAACACCAATGACGCACGGGAGAGAACGTCTAGCCCAACCGCATCCGCAGCTGGGAACTGCAGAAGCTCACGCATATAAAAAAAAATCAAACGCACGCCTACCCCCCCCCCCCCCCATGGAGAGGGCCCACTACATGAATAACACATTATATGGAACCGCTTGTCCGTGGTGTCCTCCACGACTGTCACTGTCACATGTGGCGTGGGAATGCACAGCAAACCACATAAAGCAAATTCGCCTAGTTTACAGGCTTACTATATATAGGCTCTACAGTGAATAGGGACCCACCTACTCGCTCTTTCCCCTTCTACCCCCTCCTCTGAATAACCAATAAAGTTTTTCCATCACCAACACAACATTCATGCGATGAGTGGTAACGAACAAAGTTAACAACGTAATAGCACGGAAGGATCACCGCTAAGGTAACACCGCAAACCGCTAAACACCACCGTTAAAAACACCGCTGAAGCTCCCCGAGATGCTCCGCATCCCCACATCGTTCCCTTCGGGGAGATTACGCAATTTTTTTTTCTCTCGAATACGACCTCACTGACTCGGATTCTGCATTCTCGGGTAACTCACTACGAAGTCAGAATTTTGCTAGTTGCGTTTCGTTGCATTCACTAATAGATGTGTACTTTCAGCGGGACAACGAGTTTTACCCTTCGGTGTCTAGCTATGCACTGGACTCGAAGGCCTGATCGAAGACACAAACCGAAACGTGTGTTGGACCTGTTTGTTTGACGATGCCTTCTCGGCATCTTTCACCAGCGTTTCCCATAGGGGTAAACGGAAATTTCGAATTCGAAATTCAAGCGAATCTCAAGGACACTGCAGACTAGTAGCGTCTTACCAAACAGTTACCTCAACCACCCTATTTACTTGCGTGCATTCTAGTAGCGCTCACTAGCAATCGCAGGTTCGCTCTTGCTACCTAAACTTAGCTGAAGAAAGTAAAATAGTTGCTAATCCTGGCTATCGTAACACGTATGCATTGCCATCATTCAACTACCATCCTATGGTTTCCTTGTGTACAAACGTTACAATGCGTCTGCTCACCCACCATTCGGATCGACCGATGGATGGGGACTACCACGAGTGGCGCAAGGGATATGTGCAGCAGATATGCGCAGAGGATGTGTGCGTAAATATGCTCATGAATTGCAGCAGAAACTATTTGACGTCCATCGTTACGGTCTGTGCGTATAGCGTTCACATTCAGGAAATACTTGTCTGATAACAAAGCTAATCTAATTCCTCTGATAACCCTTACGAAAACGAGGTGTTAGCCGCAGTGGAGACCATTCACGGGTGAGCCACCTTCTTGCTATCTCTCGCAGGCCAACAAGCTGATAACGATGCTGCGCGAGAGCTTCCAGATCGGCCAGCAGGCTATTTTCGGCACCTCGTTTCTTATCGCCAGTTTCTCGGTGTTCCTGGTGGTGGACCACGTGAGCAACTCCCGCCATCTGCAGCGCATCTCGGGCCTCAACATGATCGCCTACTGGGTAGCCTACGCCATTTGGTCGCTGCTGCTTTACATCTCCTCTTGCCTGCTCGTCATGACCACCTTCAGACTCTTCAACACCCAGGGATTCACTGACCCACGCGAACAGGGTAATTTCGCGCTGAGTGGCACGCTGTTGGAGTTCTGTAATTCGTCAGCGAAGACACCTCAAGTGCACGGGCACCAATTCATTCGCCCTTCCAACCTGCTCGCGTTTTTCTTTCACTGAATTCCTTCTCGTTACTGCAACCCTGGCGTAGCAGGTACCACTGCTTGGCTGCAGCAGTTTCTTTTAACAGGAAATGCAATGAACATGGAGAGTATAACAAATCCGTTGCGTTTTGGTCTGCACAAAGACAGCCTATCAAATTGCCAGCCGGTGTCCGTGCTTTCAATATTACCAAAAAATATTTGAGAAATTATGTAAGGGAGTTGTGCCAATTTTTTAAAAGCATCCCCTGTTAACTGAGCATAAGTTAGGATTTCGTCGAAGCAGGTCAGTAAAAATGGCTTTGTTAAAGCAAAATAACCTTTTACTGAGATTGTCTGTGGAAAAAAAAATACTAGCGCTTGGTGTTTTTGTGGATTTCTCTAAAGCTTTCAACAAGATGAAACATACTATACATTGTTCATAAAAGTGGAGCATTACCGATCTCACGGTTTGTCTCTTTATTTTCTGAAATCGTGCTAAAAATAGAAATAAATGTGTAAAAGTTTCAGTACTCAAATTTATTCGACATACAAGAGGAATTTCTCAGAAAAGTATACTAGGGCTTGTACTCCTCAACCTGTACATTAAGGACTTGATGAATATTAGCAGTAAAGGACAATTCATAGTTAACGCTAATAAACCGTTATTTTCTAGTCGTGCAACCTAAAAACACTCTCACAATTAGCTAACACCGCATTACGCGCTCTGTGATCAAAAGCAAGTCATAAATGATAAACGCACAAAAAAGGCTATACTGTTTACACCTCTACAAAAGCCCGTTAATAGAGATTTGACATTATTCTTGGATGTGAAAAAAATCTTTGTTTCAAGTAATGCAAAGTCACTGTGGGTACCTTCAATCAACACTTACAGTGAGATGAACACAGCAAACATGTCTAGAACATGCGGTCAATTATGTGAATTTAGGACCAAGTGCGTTTTGTTACAATGTAGAGGGTTGTCCAAAGTTAACTTCTTTTTCGACAACGTACATATGCCTCATGCTAACTTCTTCTGACGTTTAAAGAAAACCCACGATACATCAAGCAAAAGCAAGAAACTGAAATTGTGCGCTACCTTGCCGCATCCACGGCCGCTACGTATGTTTTCTACGTAGCGGCCATGCCGCAACGCTCTCAAGCGTTCTTCGAGCGGAACAGCTGGTGCGTGGACCGTGGCGAAATAAGCTAGGGGCCGCAACTCGAGGCATCAACTTTCGTGTGCGTCAGCATATTTGACAGCCACACATGGCAAGGAAACACCATCGTCCCCGATTAGCGATACTCTGACTGTCGACGCACTGGCTGAATTTCCCACCACCGGCGCAAATAGATAGCTGGGAGTGGGAGAAAATGTTGTTTTCCTTTGGATACAGGTTACCTCTTATATTGCGATCAGAGACGGTCGATCGCAGTGTCTTGAACGTTTGACGCGGACTGAAATATGCCCATTTTCTTGTGTGGAATCCTGGATTCACACCACAGCAGTATAGCTAAGATATGCAGCCGCACACCAATCGATTTCACTTCACACCTTTGCAGCGGTGATGTTCCTGCTGTTCTCATACTTCGGCCTCTCGTGGCTGCCCACGATTGCGGCGATGTCGTTCTTCTTTCGAACGCACACGGCCGCCTACGTTCGGATCGGGACGGTCTTCTTCGCCGCAGGTACGTTGTACTAAGTGGCTTAACGAGAGCACATTCTCGACTCATCAGTTTGGAGGCGATTCATTAAAATTTGTCAGTTTCTTTAGCTTAGGAGAGTGCCCCAACGCGTAGGTCTACGGGATAAGGTACTCGGCTCCTGGCTCGCAGGTCGCGGGATAGAATCCCGGCGGCGGCGGCTGCAGTTTCGATGGAGACAAAAATGCTGTGCCTATTGCTACAGAGGATCACTTTGCTGGATACACTACTACGTTCGACGATTGTTCGATGTGACGCGTTCGAGAACCATGGGGATTTTTTTTTTCTTTGGTCGAAAGAAATACAACCAAAAAGCAAACTGCGCATGCGCTTCTGACCTAATATAGCGGATTCTTTTTATGCAGCTATTGAAGCACTATATTTAGATAATTAGTTACATACTCAATAACTTTAATTACTAAAACTCCCACAAAACAATGATTTGCTTCATTTTCTTACTTGGAATATAATGTTGAGTGCCTTGGAGTTATGCCACACGAAATTGATGCGTTTCTGACAGCGTATTCTAATTCGTGACGCAAGGGGTTGGCCCATGTGCTCATATTTTGGTGCACGTTAAAGAACCCCAGGTGGTCGAAATTTGTAGAACCCTCCACTACAGCGTCTCTTATAACCATATGGTGGTTTCCAGACGTAAAATCCTGTTTATCAATCAATCAATCCATTAATCAATCAATCATCTTAGGAGAGGAAGGGCAAATGCTCTCACGAGACATTGATTGAATTCACTTGTTTTCCCTGAATAACCATCCTGCATCCCATTCACCCATTGTTGCACTACCACCGACATTGGTGCACCTACGACCAGACGACATTGTCATGTGGTGAATTCATCGTATGACGTCGCAAATTCTGTCAATGTGACGTGTGGTGACGTAACGTGTTGCAGTTATTAACTTCGTCTGCATTCACACAATACTTCAGCGCTGTTCGTGTTGACGCTACGCCCTCCACCAAGTCTCCAGAAGCGTGAAGTTTCTCATAATACTCAGAGGGAAATCTGGTGCCACCGTGTGCGCAAATTGCCTATAGGGGCGTTGTGCCGCAATAGAGGTGACGGTGGATGCGTCTTACGAGGCTTGTGTTGGCTTGCGTTGAGCGAGACTACGAATAAAGAGCGGATACGACAGCGCAAACAAATGTGAGCCGTCTTACATTTCAGAACAATTTTGGGGTGTGCGCAAATGGAGGAAAAAAAAACAGATGACAAGCATTTGCAGAATAAAGACTGACCGTGTGTTTTATTTCCCACTTTAGCAGCCGTTCGCTACATTTTAGGTTTCATAAAACTGCACCTGAAAACAGAAGTAAACAAAGTTATGTAAAACTTGTTTCTTGGCAATGCAAAAGAAACTTCATATTGAAGCGCTTTATTCGAACATTAAAGAGAAACAAACGTTCTAGCTCGACTCGGATCCAAGGTATCGGAGCTCTTCACGAGCGATGCAAATCTGAAACCAACATGTACAAGCTTTCCCATGCATGTACAACGCATCGCAGTGCCAACTAGTTTTCCCCTCTAGGTAGAACTAAGAAACTCCATTCCCGGAAGTATCCCTAGGTCTTCCCTAATTTCGCAAAGTCTCTTGACTCACGAGACATATGAGGGTTTCACCTTACTAAACCATCAGGATGCCACGCGCGCAGTGCTAGGTGAACCAGAAAGCGATGAGCAACACGCCCGCCGTGCCCGTATAGAATACACTTAGCGTTGGCTCGTGTACACAAAGCGAACGTTCAGAACTTCAGAATCACCGCTTGCGGTGCCTTCCTGGTTCAGGCGTGAGCGGTCTGGTGATGGTGGCGGTGCTCGAGTGGAGGAGGGAGCCCGATCTAGAGGACCTTATCGACAGCACCGACTTCGTGTTCACGTACGTGCTGCCGATGTACGCCCTGGGGCGAGCCTTTAGCCGCCTGTACCGCAACGCGCACTACAACATCGTATGCAACGACTACTACACGCAGAATGTCCTCTGCGAGATCGCGCCCAACCGGGCACGCTACTGCTGCAAGGGTATGTGCACTACTACTCTCATGCACACAAAAGAACACGGGGACGCGTTTCATACGGTTTTATTCGCGTGCAAACTGCCCCAAGGACAGTTATGTCCAGACGTTTTGTTTGTGTTTTTAGTCAGAGGATGACTGCTGGTATTTTTCCCAACGGTCGAAGTAATCTCTCACAAGCTGCTAAAGAAATTTCGAGATTGGAGTTGTATTGCATGCCACTCCTGACTTTTGCCTTACTTGACCAATTCTTACTGCCATAGCTAGAGAACAGCTTCCCTGGCTCGATTGCGTAAATAAAGCCAACTTTTCTCGCGTGCTTCTCTGTAAGGCTGTCCAAAACGTCTCGGGACAGTCCAAGCGCATGTTTACCTACTAGGCCAAACAATTAAGTTGTATATTAGACTCACGCGTTGGCATAAGAAAATGGCTAATTGTGTTGCTGTGAAGGCGTTCTTTTTTATTTTTCGTGGTTGTTTTTCGGCTCGGAGAAAAATCGAGACGGTGCCGTGGTGCGTTCGGTATAGCACAGATAAATCGAGAAGAAAGAAAGATAAATCGAGGCGTCATTTACGCCATTTTACTATCGCAGGGTAGAACGTACATTGCATAGACTGGCACGTGAAAAGGTGACGCCATCATTAGAACACTTTAAAAAGCACACCATCATGCTTGATAGCGCATTCTCGTGGGTCGTTATGGGTAAACAAGAACGTTAATCGAGGCTCAACCGACAAAAGAAAAACTGTTAAACAAGGCACTTTGTTTCCAGCAACGTCAGCAAAAAAGGAATCAATACTGTTAAGTAATGTGAACATGCTGCCGCAGGAGATTTGTTGGCATTTATTTTTTCGTTTCGATTCTTAGTTTCTTTCTGCTGGAACTGCCAGTTTTCCTGCGCTTTTTTTTTACTCGGGGTTATTAGGATTGAGATAGCTTTACATTATATAGAGTACTTCAATCCCAACACCTCATGCTTCACTAAGGTGCCCCTTGCACCTTAGACGTACTACTTTCAACGTGACAGCGTTGGAAACTTCGTTTCACAGAAATTCCGGCGTTGGCGTGGGCATCGCTCCTTGTGAGCAAAAAATTATCTTGTCCCTGACCAGAAATATAGAGACAGATGCAAGTAATAAAAAAATTGTGGGTCAGAAAAAAAGATACAACCCACACCTTCTGCGTGAGAAACGGGTGTTTCAAAAAAGAAAAAAAAAACACTACGTGAATGTCATGCAGTGGAAGAAGTTTCCCTCACGCATCATATATTGCGTGACGGAAGCATAGAGTCACGCCAGGCGTCTAAACACGTGAATTGTGCAACTAAAGGCCCGCTCAGTACAACGCACTCATACATAATCTTCATAAGCAGCAGAACCATAAAAAATGTGAACAGCTGCGTAGATTCGCGTCTTGCACGACGGGTACTTCGCAAATTGCGATACTTCGCAACAGGTACTGATTCGCAAATTGAATAACTATAGTGTAGCGGGCACTTAAAAATTGCAATTGGCATTCAATGATACCTTCAAATGGCCAATGTTACGCACAGAGTAATTCGTTTCCTATTAGCACGTGAAAAATCTTGGTATAGTTTGCAGACTACATTGACTGGACGTAAAAGCAGGGTTGCTTCTCACTCTCGTATCTGTTTCCTGCTTGTGATTGTTAGTATTAACCAAGACGAATACTTCCATATGTTGTGTCGTGCGCGGTTTTACCTTGGAAAAAGCAGCTTGCGCACTGCGATATTCGCACTTGGCAGAGATGAAGTGGCGAGCTTCTATCGCAGACTACTGCCGCGCGAGCGAGTGCATCGACTGGCAGCCGGACCTGCTGTCGTGGGGCTCGCCGTGCATCACGCGTGCACTGACGTCGTTCATCCTGCACGCGATGCTGGGACTCGTTGTGCTGTGCGCCTGCGAGACGAACGCAGGCTTCTTCACCGAACGGCTCACCGTCAGCGGCTCGGCTAGTAGCAAGTCGATCTCATCCAACGAGGTCAGTGAGGCCTATCAGCCACGATGAGATCAACCTGAATACATTTCGAACCAGCTCTACAGGAAAACTGGCAAATAACAGTTATCGAGCCCTAGGGTTGGCAAATATTCAGGTTACATCGATGGGGTCTTCCAGGTGCATTGTTGATGTCGTGGGTTTCCGTCCCAGGGTGATAACACTACCCCGCACGTCGTATGTTCTGTGTGCGAGAGAAGCCGAAGATCTCGGCTCAAGCGGAAAGGAAGTGCGCCGGTGGTCTGGAGGCCCGACCAAACGTCCGCTTTGCAGCGCACCAGCGCGTGGCGTGTAGATTTATGTGTAGAGAGCCTTGATACCAGAGGCGCGCGCAGCGAGGCACCCTTCGTGTAGACTCAGCCCCACGCTCTCTCTCTTTCTGTGCAGAGACAGTTCTTGCTGATCTCTCCCTCCATAAAAAGAGGGCGGGGCGCCGAGTCAACACGCCAAGAGCTGCAATGCGGACGTGTGGCTAGGCCTTCATTCCACACGAAAGGCCCGTGCGGTTATACAGGAGAGGAGCTGGCTCGGCATAAACTGCGCCCTTTAAGCGGCCGGGTGCAATCGACAGGCGGGTCACACCTTTGTGCGTGCGATGTTCTCAGCACTCAGATTGCGTGGAAGCGATAGGAAGCACGAAGGTCACGTGAAGGCACCCGTGACAGCAGAAATGCGCCTGGAATGTCCATACGATTGCCCTCACAATAAAATATACTTTGCACCGTAGAACATAATGACACCACAAGTGACAGCACGCCGATATCTGCTGAATTGTTGGGGCTCACCACTGACACTTCGGGAGCCGCAGCATATCTAGCGGTTTCAAATGTGGGATCATTGTTAAACCATATTCAGGTAATTAGTTTTGACTTATTTACTTTTTCCTCGGCAAAACTTAGATCAATGTTAGTGGACTAAAATTAATCTAATTTATCCCATCGTTGAATTTTGTATGCCACTTTTTTCAGCCTATTGTTTACGAATTCATTATAGCACTATTCATGTTATCACGTGTTCATTGACTGTTCTTTAATGCTGGCCACGCACTATATACTACATTGGGCTGCGGACTAGTCAAGCAACCTAGAGGCTTTCTTTTGATATTTTTCATCTGTATACAAGATACACGGTGTAAATAAAAATTTGATTTGATTTACCCCAGCAGAAACGGCAGGAGCTGCAAGCGGAGTAGGAAAAAAAATTGGCGCGTATCTGCATGTTACACTGCAAATGTCATCGAAATACGATAGTCTTGCGTCTGAAGAGGGTGAACAAAACGTTTATTTGTTGTTCTGCACAAGTCACGTCACACGTGAGACATGAGCGCAATGTGACAGTTATCCTTGAAAACGAAGCGCGCGCCCGTCTCTGAGGTGATCAGGTGTAGAACGCAAGGCGACGGGTAGATGCCACCACCGTGTCGTCTTAGGAAAGCGTTGGAAACACTTGCCCTTTCGTGCAAGCGTGGCATGGTCAGCGCAACGTTAAAAGGCTACGATCCTTAAAATTACATGTGCATGCCTTTTCTAGTAAAAATATACACATACATAGCATTGACGTGTTGTTATGGTGCCTCAGATATGCGCAGTAATTGCTTTTTAATTGACAATCGCACAAGTATGAACGCTGAACCTTGAGTAATATTGATGGGCGCTGCAGATGGTGTCGTTTGGAGTATCGTTTGGCCACTTTGGTGCCCTTTGAGGTACCGTTAAGGGTGGACAAACAGACAAATGTACGGAAAGACAGACCAGACTTTTTGCCTCGAAGGTCTCCAAGAAAGACTATATCATCTTTAAAAAAAGAAAGATCACGCACTCGTCCAGAGTGAATTCGTGTGCCGGATTGTTTGTGCGCGGGTTTTGACCTTCGCACCGTTTGCGCCTGCAGGAGGTGCAGGACGACGACGACGTGGCGGAGGAGAAGCAGCGCATCCTCACCTCGACCGTGCCGGAGCTTGCGAAGCGCGACGTGCTGGTGCTGCGGCGGATGTCGCGCTTCTACGGCTCCTTCTGCGCCGTGCGCGAGCTCTCTTTCGGCGTGCGCAAGGGCGAGTGCTTCGGCTTGCTAGGCATCAACGGGGCCGGCAAGACGACCACCTTCAACATGCTCACGGCCACCATCAAGCCCAGCGAGGGTGACGCATTCGTCGACGGCTATTCGGTCACCAACAAAACGAAGCAGGTAAGCAGCGCATGCACCGCTATAGAAATATGGCACGGGCGCAAACTTTAAATAATGTGACTTATACTTCATTCAACTGCCAGATTTCATAATATGCGTATTTGGGACGCCTGTCGAAAGCCTTGGTGACAAAATCGAGAGGATACAAAACAGTGCGGCAAGGTTCGTTCTTAGGTGGTGTAAGCGGGAACACAGCTATATGTATACACTGTTACGGGAGAACAAATGAAAAACACACTTGTTTTCGAAAAAAACTTCGTTTAAATATGCTACTTCGAATATATCATAGGGCTGCCACTAACAGGTGCCTTTAGCTGCCACATTATATGTCAATTATGACCTTAAAATATCTGACTCTTTGATAGTACTGTACCAATAGAATCTGCAGTCTTATGGTCAAGTGACGCGCGCTAGTCAAGACCTTCCAGGCCTTCCACTTCGGTGCTCGACTAAGGTCGCGGGTTCGATCCCGGCCGAGGCGACCACATTTAGCTGGAGGCGAAATGGTAGAGGCTCGTGTACTGCGATGTCTGTGTGCACGTCAAGGAACACCAGATGGTCCAAATTTCCGGAGCCCTTCCCTACGACGCCTCTCAATCATGTCTTGGTTTTGGGACGTGAAACGCCATATATTATGGCCTACACGTCCTTGGGCAAAGCAGCTATAGGGTACCTCCGATGAAAGAATGAGAGACGTTCACCGGTGGTGCCTGCCACTCTGAATCCTACTACTTGCCACCCGCACAGGTTCTCCGAAGGATCGGCTACTGCCCGCAGACAGACGCCCTGCCGGACTTCCTGACAGGCCGCGAGGTGCTGACGTTGTACGCGCGCATCCGGGGCATACCAGAGAGCCGGCTCGGGGACGTGTGCCGCGCGCTCGCGCAGCTCTTCTACTTCACGCCACACCTGGACAGCACACTGGACACCTACAGGCACGCTTCGTCGCATTTGACATCTCTTTTCTGTGCAAGCACGTGACCACGCAACGCGTACCTTTCAATACGGTGGTATGCTGGGCCAGTTGGTGCAACTGACTGTAGATTGTGTGAGCGATAAACTGTAGAAATGCATGCTATGCACTTTATTCCATGTAGCGATGAGGTGGTGTACAGAATTACGTTGAGCTGTGAAGAAGTGTACCTTGGCCAGACAGGCAGATGTCTAGATTACAGACTGGGAAATATCGATCGTCATTGAAGGCTCTCGCAGTACCTCTTTGCACTACAAAGATATTGGCTGCAATCCGCAATTCATGAGCACTAATATTCTTTGCAAATCACAACACCGACTGACCGGGGAGTTCACGAAAGGTGGGCATATGAAAGCAAACTAAGCCACTTGCACCAGTGTTCCTTCTGGATATAAAGAAATAGGCTTACTAACAAGGGCGGCACATATCAGCTATACGATAACTATACCTTCCTGCTGGCAATCTCTTTAGTGTGATAAGGTGGCTGCACATGCGCGATTCTGTGCTCCCGTGTGAAAAAAAGTTTGCGATAAACTGCAGTTGGTAAGTTGAGCGTCTGTCCTGTAAAAAAGTTCTTTCCCTCTATTCTTGCTGTTCACCGCTAACGCAATGAACAGGATGCTTACCTTTCGTTCTACGCAGTGGCGGCAACAAGCGCAAGGTGAGCACAGCCGTGGCGTTTATCGGCAGCCCGCAGCTGGTGATTCTGGACGAGCCGTCCACCGGCATGGACCCGGTGGCCAAGCGATGCGTCTGGCACACTCTGCAGGAGCTCATCGTCCGCGGCTGCAGCATCATTCTCACCTCTCACAGGTATCGACGATTCGATCACTTGTCCCCTTCGGCAACATGAAATACCTTTGTCAAATGAGTTTACATAAATGATCGGCCATAATCATTAGCTTCATTTTGGAGTTTAATGTGAACGAAAAGCCTTCGGAGTTGAATAGCACGCTTTCAAATATTAGAAAAGTGTCAAAATTTTAAGGTTCGGTGCCGTCACGCCAAAACACCATATGCAAGCGAATTTCATCAATTTTAGCGAGAATAAAGTAACCACCACCATGCCCAATTCCTTATTCCACTGCCCCGCCACGGTTATCCAGTGGCTAAGGTACTCGGCTGCTGACTCGCAGTTCGCGGAAGCGAATCCCGGTGGAGGCGGCTGCATTTTCGATGAAGGCGAAATACTGTACTCCCGTGGGCTCAGATTTGGTTGCACGTTAAAGAACACCAGGGAGTGAAATTACAGGAGCCCTCCACTATGGCGTCTCTCATAAGTATACGGTGGTTCTGGGACGTTAAACCCTACTAGAGCCATATCGTATAACCGTTGTGGGAGTGCCCTCGCTCCAATTAACAGAGGATACAGTATACAATATATTGCAAACAAGAAAAGACGAATTTCATTTCATTTTTTTACGCAGCAGGCCCGCAAGCCGAACTATACAAATTTTAGTGTGGCAATGACTAGAAGAGTCGGCCAGCCAAATTATTTAAACATACGTGTCAAAGTAACAGAATGGAACGTTATACGGAATCCAGGGGGCTCGACGTACCACGCCAGATTAATAAGCGAGTGAAACTCAATAGTATACGCCAACCACGAGGCATGTTTGCGACTGGAGGCGTCATCGCGTGAGCGGTAAACGTGTGGCCCATAAATATTGTTACGGAGAAGATTTATTCACCGAGAGCTGGTCTTGCTAACGGCTTAAAGAGCGCACAGTCATGCAGGCCAACGGGAGAAGCTTTAGAGTCCAACCCACTACAACCACGTTGTCGTCTTCTTCAGTTGGGTGCCAATTGAGCTGTGTCGGGGTGACAGTTCCATACACGTATCATCACCCCGGCCCGTAAGGCACCGTCTCGGTGCCTGTTAAATGAGCAAGTCGGCGTTGTAGGGCTTGAGACGAGAAACGTGGACTACTTCCGTTCTGGGTGCAGCAGCTGATGAGTTTGTGGTAGCGGCAATCTCGTAGGTCACAGGTGTGACCTGACGAATGACTCGGTAGGGCCCAGCGTATCGCGATAGTAGTTTCTCGCAGAGGCCAACACGTCGAGATGGGAGCCACAAGAGAACAAGAGATCCCGCAGAAAAAACGGCATCTCTATGTCGACGGTCATAAAGAGACTTCTGTGCTGTCTGCGACGACGATAACCGAGCACGCGCTACCGCGCGTGCTGTGAGGGCACGGGTGATCGCATCCTGAGCGTACGAAGTGGAGGATGGGTGGTCTAATGAAAGCAGTGTGTCGAAGGGCAGTAAGGGATGACGTCCGAAGAGTAGATAAAAAGGAGAGTAGCCCGCTGTTTCATGACGCGACGAGTTATAGGCGAAGGTTACGAACGGAAGAGCTATGTCCCAATCAGTGTGGTCGGTAGATACGTACATGGAAAGCATGTCCGTCAATGTGCGGTTTAGGCGCTCCGTAAGGCCGTTAGTCTGAGGGTGGTAAGATGTGGTGAAGTTGTGACGGGTAGCACAAGATCGGAGTAGATGATCAACCACACGAGATAGAAAGTAGCGACCACGGTCTGTGAGCAGGTGAGTCGGAGCGCCATGCTGGAGAATAATGTCGTAGAGCAAGAAGTCGGCAACGTCGGTTGCGCAGCAGGTTGGTAGCGCTCGAGTGATTGCATACCGAGTGGCATAGTCTGTGGCCACTGCAATCCATTTATTTCCAGTTGTAGAAGTAGGAAAGGGACCTAGCAAGTCCAATCCCACTCGATAAAATGGCTCGGCTGGAACTTCAATAGGTTGAAGAAGACCGGCAGGGGGAGTCGTAGGCTTCTTTCGGCGCTGGCAGACGTCGCAAGATGCGACGTAACGGCGAACAGAGCGGTACAGACCCTTCCAGAATACTCGTTGTCGAATGCGGTCGTAAGTTTTGGAGACTCCTAGATGTCCAGAAGTTGGAGCGTCGTGGAATTGTCGCAGAACATCCTTTCGCAGGTGATGCGGTACGACGAGTAAAAGTTCCGCGCCGTCGGGGTGTAAGTTGCGGTGGTACAAAATGTTGTCTTGAAGCAGGTATCTGCTAAGAGATGGGTCAGGATAACGCGATTGAAGGCGGTCAATGATGGTGAGCAGCGATACATCTCGGCGCTGTTCGTCAGCCACGTTCAAAAAGTCAGTGATGGCTAAAACGCAGGCATCGGATTCCAAATCAGTGGAGCTAAGTGGATCAACGGGGTGCCGGGATAAGCAGTCAGCATCGCTGTGCAGCTTTCCTGATTTGTAAACAACCGAGAACGTGTACTCCTGTAATCGAAGTGCCCATCGGCCGAGTCTTCCTGTAGGGTCCTTAAGCGTCGACAGCCAGCAAAGCGCATGATGGTCCGTGATGACTGCGAACGGACGTCCGTATAAGTACGGACGGAATTTCGCGATAGCCCAAACGAGGGCTAAGCATTCCCGCTCAGTGATAGAATAATTTTGTTCCGCTTGCGACAAAAGGCGGCTAGCGTAGACTATCACACGGTTGGTGCCATTCTGTATTTGAGCGAGTATAGCACCAATGCCATGGCCGCTTGCATCGGTGCGAAGCTCTGTTCGAGCCGTTGGGTCAAAATGAGCCAACATAGGTGGTGATGTGAGGGCGGTAATTAGCGACGCGAAGGAATGTTCTTGGTCCCTTCCCCAAGAAAAGGCCACATTCTTTTTGAGGAGATCCGTGAGGGGCCTAGCAATATCCGCGAAGTTGAAGACAAAGCGGCGGAAGTATGAGCAGACCCCAATAAAACTGCGAACTTCTTGTGTGGAACGCGGAACCGGGAATTCTCGGACTGCACGGACTTTGTCAGGGTCGGGTTGCACACCAGTGGCGTCAACAAAGTGGCCGAGTAGTTTAATCTGCCAACGTCCAAACGAGCATTTCGACGAATTCAGTTGGAGACCAGCGCAACAGAAAACGTCAAGAATTGCCGAGAGACGAGACAGGTGGCTTTCGTAGGAGGGCGAGAAAACTATTACATCATCCAGATAGCAAAGGCAGGTCGACCATTTGAAACCGCGAAGAAGAGAGTCCATCATACGTTCAAAAGTAGCCGGGGCATTGCACAACCCAAAAGGCATGACCTTGAATTGGTAAAGGCCGTCGGGTGTGATGAATGCTGTCTTCTCGCGGTCGCGGTCGTCGACCGAAATTTGCCAGTATCCGGATCGAAGGTCAAGGGTCGAGAAATAGTTGGCGCCGTGGAGGCAGTCGAGCGCATCATCGATTCTGGGTAAAGGATAAACGTCCTTCTTGGTGATCCGATTCAGGTGGCGATAGTCGACGCAAAATCGCCAGGTGTTGTCCTTCTTTTTAACTAAGACCACAGGGGAGGCCCAAGGACTCGATGAAGGCTCAATGACGTCTTTACTCAGCATTTTCTCGACCTCCGTCTGTATAACTCGGCGCTCAGCATGTGACACGCGATAAGGGCGTTTGTGGAGTGGACTGGCGTCGCCGGTGTCGATGCGGTGGGTTACGGCACTTGTGCTGCCCAGGGGACGGTCGTTGACGTCAAAGATATTCAGGTAAGAAAACAGAACACACCGGAGCGCCGCAACTTGGGAAGGTAAGAGGTCGCTGGATATCATTTTGTCGAGGAACGCCTTATTTTGCGACGTGATGACAGGTTTCGCCATGGTCTTAGTGTCAGGTGTAAAAGAACAAATCGAACATTCATCAAGGGTGGAAAGATCGGCTAAAGTGATGCCTTGGGGAAGAACTTGGGTCGACGTAGAGAAGTTCAGAACTGGAAGTAGCACCGTGTTGTTAGCAACAACCACTATAGTATGTGGTAGTGCGATGTGGTGCGTAAGGGTCAAATCAATTAGGGGAGCTACCAGATAGTCTCCATCAGGAACGGACGGGAAGGGCGACAGAGGAACGTACATAGCAGCCTGGGGCGGTAGCCGTAGAGACTCCACGGATCGTAGCAGAGTGCGACTTGGAGGAGTGAAATCGGAGCACAAAGGCAATTCGAGCCGTAAGATACCAGTAGAACAATCGATGAGGGCGGAGTGGGCGGTTAAGAAGTCAATTCCAAGGATGACGTCGTGTGGGCAAGCATCTAGGACTGCGAAGAGAACGGAAGTGTGGTGGCCAGCAACAGTAACGCGGGCAGTGCACATACCAAGCACCGATGTTCAACTTCCGTTGGCAACTCGAACAGTAGAGAACATAGCTGGTGTGAGAACTTTTTTCAGGCGAGATCGACGTGTAGAACTCATAACAGATACTTGGGCACCAGTGTCAATTAGAGCAGTAACGGCGTGGCCATCAACGAACACCCGAAGTAAATTGCGTCTTGAATTTGTAGCCGGTTGAGGGTTTTCGTTCCGAGTCGTCAACGCAGCGCCACCTCCAGGAGCTGCACTCGTCAGTTTCCCGGGGAATGGCCAGAATAAGCCGGTGACGGAGAGCGTCGGCGTTGAGGGGAGCGTGACGGCCGACCCTGAGGTGACGGCGAGCGGCTAGACCAGTTTCTTTGGGCGACGACGTCAGCGTAGGACGGTTCGGAGCGTGGAGATGAACGGCGAGCTGAAGGGTCCTGAATATGGTCATCCGAAAAACCGGGTTGCGAATAGTGTCCACGGTCTTGACGGCGGTCGACATTATGAAAGCTTGGCCGGAAATACCACCTGTTGCGACAATGGCGGGAGATGTGCCCAACTCGAGAGCAAGAAAAGCAGATGGGTCGATCATCGTGCGTGCGCCACTCAGATGGATTTCGGTAGCGTGGTGGAAACCGAGGAGCCGAAGCTGCCGCAGCGACAAGTGGAGCAGAGTGGTGGTCAGCGTTGTGGACAGGAGTGCTCATGGGCTGCGGCATAAGTCTGGCGGGCTGGGGAACTTGGACGCCCAGGTTAGCAAACTCCTGGCGTACGACGGCTTGAATAAGCGAGACTGTTGCGCAGTTGTCTTGCGCAGGGGGCTGATAGGAAGCGGGTGCCATGGCTTCCAGCTCCCGGCGAACAATCCTTGCGATATTGGCAGGAGGCGCAAGTGAACGGGGCGCTGCATAATTCTCGCAAGACGAAGTCGCAGCAGTGTTGTGTTTGGTAGTCTCGCGATGTGGTGGGTGATTCGCCTGCTTTTAGCTTGTTCAAATCTTCGACATTCAGATATGATGGAGTCGACAGTGGTGCAGTTCTTGCACATTAGTATGTTGAAAGCATCATCAGCAATGCCTTTCAACACGTTGCTGATCTTGTCCGCCTCGGACATGTTTTTGTCAGTCTTCCGGCAGAGTGCCAGTACGTCTTGGATGTACGTGACATACGACTCCGTCAATGATTGAACCGTCACGCGACGCGAGTTCCTGCCTGGCTGCCATCTGACGAGCAACTGACCGACCGAACAAATCGCGAAGCTTTTGCTTGCATGTGTCCCAGCTGGTTAGTTCTTCATGCGTCTCATACCAGGCGCGTGCCGTACCCCGTAGGTAGAATAGAATATTTGCCAGCATAAGCGTTTCGTCCCACCTGTAGTGCTTGCTGAAGCGCTCGAATAATGCGAGCCATTCTTCGACGTCCGTGCTGTCCGTCCCGGAAAACGTGCCAGGGTCGAGAAGATGGGGGGGAATCACAGGTGATGGAGCCGGCGCGGATGGCGAGGCCTGAGTGCCAGTTTCAGGCATCGCGGCTGGACAAAGCTGGCGTCCACTGCGGAGTTCCAGAGCCGGGTTGTGTGAAGACCCCGCACCTTCCACCAAAAGATGTTACGGAGAAGATTTATTCACCGAGAGCTGGTCTTGCTAACGGCTTAAAGAGCGCACAGTCATGCAGGCCAACGGGAGAAGCTCGAGAGTCCAACCCACTACAACCACGTTGTCGTCTTCTTCAGTTGGGTGCCAATTGAGCTGTGTCGGGGTGACAGTTCCATACACGTATCAATATGTATTGTGCAATGATAAACGCCCCTTATCATGTAATACACCCCCTTCTCACCCCTCAAGGAAGTAAAAATGAAGTGAAATGGAAAAGAATTCAGGATAAACGAAGTTGGATTGCAAGTTCACAGGAGGCCTGATGAATACAGAAGATGACTAACAACTGTAAGAGCGCAGTGCGGCGGGAAACAAAAAAAAGACACAAAGCTCAATGCTCATGTGTATGCATGCAATCCTATCACTCAATCCAGCGCATGTGGCGATCTACGTGGGAGATAACTTGCGTGATATTGCATGCCATCTTTGCGAGGTATACCTTCACCATCAGACGCGCGTCAGCTTTTGTGTGCCCAAACAACAGTGCACGTTTGTATAGTGCTGTCTACAATGTCAAAAATATAAATAAAATGGTGATCGAGAAAAAGGATCCCATGCCATAGTCCTGGCGAAGCTCGCATATTGCATGCGGGCGTGGCATTCGACTATAGTTGCGTCGAAGATCTCAGTAGCTATGCGCGAAAGCCACGCTCCGTCCGTTCAGGAGCAGCGCTCGCGGATCACTGCGAGTAAGTTTGTGTTTTATTTCTTTGCTTATTACGTTGTGAGCAAAGCTCGATTTCTCAGCTCGCGTTCCCGAGTCTTTGATTTTAGGCGTGTGCTCCTAGTGTGTGATCATTATATAATACTGCGAGTGACAGGCACATACACAAGTGGTGAAATTCGGTTGCTAATGGCGAATTACACTGGTAGATCCGGAGTGGCCGCCGAAATCTTGGACCGAGCACTCGGAGTATGCCAAACGAGATCCACTAGCGGAACACGTATGCCCCGCGTGAGGTCTCTCCGGAAGTTTTTTACGCATACGTCACTAAACCGGTACCGGAAGCAATTTTCCTTTGTGCGCTCGACGATGCAATAAAAACTGTGTCGTCACTGCAAAGCACGCATTTCGACCCCGCAGTCTCGCGAAAACCAGGGTGACCGCTTTCCAATTTTAGGAATCTAAACAAGAGCACAGGGTTACTAGACCACTTCAAAAAACGCTGAGGGCAACCCAGCTGCCCGACTGTACCGGAAATGACGGCAACGCATTCTCAGAGTTCAGGCGAAATCCGTCTCTGCAACACGGAGTGCGCGGAACGCTCCATCGCGGACTGGATTGCTCCGAAGCTGCCGGTAGAAAATGCTAATTTTTTTCCAAATTTACCAGCGAAACGCGGATTTTGAGCTTTGGAGCAAGAAAACTTGCTCCCGCTCGACGAGTGGAATTCGCCATAAATCATGATCGAGTACCTCGGCCGCACTTAGCTGCCTTGTGCTACTTGTGAAAAGAAATCAAGTGTTCCGGAGAATTTTCGAACGAATCTGATTCGATAACCATCCAAAGTAGTCGAGTGAGCGGCACCAGTATTTGAGAAACTTGAAAACGGCGCGAAACACACAGCGCAATGACGGAGACTGTCTCTGCCATTGGCCTGCGTTTTGCTGTTTCCTGTTTGCTTGAATACGTACTGACTAGCTAAATGGGCACTCTATACTCGCTTTCGGCTTTCACGTAACCGGTCACAGCCCTCGTGACCGATGAAGTATGGGAATAATGGATTTAACAGCGCTGTCACATGACTATAGCTTAAGTGATTGGGATGTAAAAACGGCGCAAAAATAAGAAACAAGGACTGAAGAAGAGACAGAACCCTGTCGTCTCTTCTACACTCTTTGTTTCTAATTCTTCGCTGTTCCTACAACTCAAGCATAGACCAACTTTCGCTTTTAGAAAAACCTAAGTAAATTGAGAATGCGAGCATTCCCACAGTTTGCGCTGATCCTGCTGTATACACCTCTGCGTTATTTTCATGTGTCCTGTTTTATGTGTGAGCAGCGTGTTGCAAGTGTCGAGCTGCGACACTCATTTCGCGCTCATCCTCTGCGTGTTCTTTTCGTGCGTCCTTTGGGCCTAGGCAGCACGAGGCAAGTTTCGAGCAGCTGGACATTTTTCGTATGGCCTTCGGTTTGTTTCTATCACATTCATTGTTTCGCTGTTTCAGCGAAACTTACTTTTTCGTACCACATGCCGGCTTCTCGCCGAAAGACCCGTCTCGTGAATCTCATGTTCCTGTAAAAGCCGCGCAATGTTGTAACTGATATCGCGGCGTCGTGCAGCATGGAGGAGTGCGAGGCCATGTGCAGCCGTCTGGCGATCATGGTGAACGGCTGCCTGTGCTGCCTCGGATCGCCGCAGCACCTCAAAAACAAGTTCGGCAGCGGCTACTCCATCATGATCAAGGTGGCCGGTGCCAAGCCGTCGGTCACTTCGCTCACGTCGTTCAGCTCGTACAGCAGCAAGGAGGACTCGCTGGGCACCGAGATGGAGGGCGTCAAGAGCTACATGCAGGCGCGGCTGCCGGGCATCGAGCTGATTGGTGCACACAACGGACTGCTCGAGTTCCACCTGTCGGCGCCCGACCTGAGCTGGGCCGAAGTGTTCGACGTCATGGACCAGGCCAAGAGCGTCTTCAATGTCGCCGATTACTCGGTGGCGCAGCTCACGCTCGAGCAGGTCTTCCTACACTTCGCCATGCTTCAGCGAGAGCACCACAAGTGACGTCATCAATGCACGCTCTTAAGTGGCTGCGTCGCTGCACTGCCGTTAAGTGGGGGCGACGAAACACCGTGTAGATGACACCGTCGTTGGCCCCCGTTACAGGCTCGAGACAATATTGACTCGTGCCATATCGCAATTTGTATATAAGACTTCGAGCAGCCATCGCAATACAGTGCGACTTTATTTGATCAGATTCATTCTCGTTTAGCGTGTCGATTTTCATGTACGAGTGATAGCTTTTTATTTTAGTGCATTTTTTTTTCAACACTACGAACGTTTTTTTTTTTCAATTTCACTCAACGCCCTAATTGAGGACAATGTTATTTTCAGGCAGTTTGGGGACTTCTCAAGTGTGTGCGCCACAACTATGTGTTCATTGGCGCTATGTATACGGCGGAAGACTGGCACGACCATACGCGCGAAATATACGCGCTGATGTGTACGCAGGCCATTCACGTTCGGTGTACATATATACCAGCTAGCGCATATCTGCGAGCCTTTAGCATTTGTACGCGATGTTTTGTGAAGCGCTTGCTGGGAAATCGAAACCACGATAGGAAAGAAAACATCTGTGTGTTCGTTCTCGTGTACACGTGCAACGAAATGCAGACAGGCGCCAACGTTCTTTTTGTCAGGGCGAACTTATTAAATGCGAAGCATTTCTTAGTGAACTTCGGCGACTTTGAGCGTATCTATCAATCTGCCTTTCTATCTAGCCGCTTACGTATGGGTGCTCTCGTGGTCACCTCCTTAACTTGGCGTGAACCAAAATTAGCATGGGAGGGTAAGATGGATTGACAAACATGACGCTTTTGTCAAGACATGAATACGCCCACAATCCCGCTGCGTACGTCGTCAAACACTTCCCGTCAGACAGCGGCACATATCACGGGCGGGCATGCGCCGCTGGTATGTGGGTGTGTGTGACACATAGTATCTACCTAGGAACGATGAGAACACACATGGGCAATTTTAAAGCGTAAGCGTTAAGAAATACCCGACATCGGTAGCGTCAACCCAACGATGGCATAGAATAAATGTCAGTGTTAAAAAAAAACCTGACATAGGTAGCGTTGACCCCCCGATGAATGCAAATAACTAATTTCAGGGTCCCAGCAGGAATCGAACCCAAAGCATTCTGCGTGGCAGTTGAACATTCTACCGCAGAGCTACGCCAGGTCTCGGAACTACTTTTCAAATAGACGCTAATCTTCGTGAAACGTCAATAGTGGTTTCAGTGCTGCCTACCTAGTTTTATAGATATTACATATGCACTCCTTTGATACAGCCGTCACGTCGGGTTAACGTTAATTGTGGTTAGTGCCGTGTGCTGAAGTTGATTTGTAGCAGTGTCGAAGGCCAGCATCTTCGCGAGCATCAGCACTTCATATCAGTTTCTGGTGTTGCTAATACGCATGTTCCAGTTGAAATCGTTGCTCAAGTGCCAACAACTGGTTATATAAACATCTGCAACTCTTCAACATATGTCTGTGCGGGCAACTTTTGTACATATGCTTAGCGTCATTTCATGATGTGTCGCTCAATAAAAAAAACTGCAACTAGGTCACCTTCCCACCGCATCCTTCGCATAACGTCGATTCCCACATACGTGGGTTCTGCCGAATTTTTACTGTATTCGCGGTGATGTGTTTCATTTTAAATGTGTACATAACTCATTGTCTCAATTATTGTCCGGTTCGAAGCAGCGATGCAATGGGGCTTCTCTCTGCAATTTCTATTTTTGGTAACCATACGTGCTACGGTAGTTGCGCTTCCGGACTAATAATTCGCTGACCTAGCTGCTCTCCCGCCAGGTGGTGCTGATGGCGCACCGCCTTTTCTTTTTTTTTAACTGGCAAGGTTACAGTGCAAGAATACTTTAGGTGAGCGAACTCGGGGCCAATCCACTGCCCGATAATGTTCCGCTTCGAAAGGCACCCATGTAGTAGGAAAGTGGCGGCGCTCATTTATCGTCGCCACAACACCCTCGCCGCACAGTCAACCACCTCTTTTATCACCTGTTTCACGGTGCCGCTGTATACGTGACGCGTGGTTGATATCGCACGATAACCCAGTTTTCTCCAAATTGGAAACCGTTTCCCACGTGCTGGAGGGGCTTTGCGGAATTTGGAAGCAGCCCACCACGGTCCTCAGTCCGGCGAGCTATCTATCGGCATGCCGCAAACGAGAACATAATCGGTCTCTCCCCACCAAGCGCTCACCAAGCGTTCGCTCACCTGAATTGTTCTTGATCCGTGGGCATGGAAGATGGACGTGTTTTCCGAGGTCTCCCGATTGACTGCGCAGATAAGTGTTTTTGCATGACGAAAAATAGCATATCAAATGCCTTAGTGGGTGCCAAGCAAGTGTGCTTGCAGTAGTTACCCAATGAGTGTTTTGAAAAGGCTCTGAAACACCGCTCTTCTATAGCTTTCGCTGTGACTGTTGCGCCTACCGTGCACTTGTTACATGGTACAGCTTTTTTTTTGGGGGGGGGGGGGGGTCAGTCGTCTGGTATTTACTTGTTTGTGTGTGTGTGTGTTTTTATTCTGCCATACGGTGGTGGGGGCGCACGTAAACTAACCACGTATTTTTGCAGCAGACCTTGGACTTTTTTTTTGCCTAGGGCAGGCTTTGTCGCACGCCAAATTGTATAATTAACGAGTCGGACAATGCCGCCTTACAATCTGTGTCAAAAAACATGGTTAAAAATACTGTAAATTTTCAGAATGCGGGGTGGGTTTGTAAATGAAGGCAAGTGCGGACACGAATGCAGAGGAAGCTAATGCCAAGTGTAGCCAATGTGAGGTCTAGAGAAAAAAATGGTGAAAATGATAGTTGCCCAGAAAGAACTGCTGACGAGAATCGCCAAGCTGAAGACTGCGTTGGTGACTGAGCGAGAAAAAACGAGGGCTGTGGGAGAAAGGCTGAGGTCATGAGGTCAGCCGAGGAAGCACTCGCGTAGGTGAGCAAAGAGCGCCCGATGGAGAGAACGGTACTCCACCGGCACCCAGAACTGCGTAGAAAAAAGGGAAATCGGGTTTAGAAAAAAACAGTTTGAACTGGTTCAGGGGTCACAAGACCCAGTTCAGCGAAGTAATGGTGTGGGTGGGATGGGACAAAACAGTTGGTGTCACAGGCGCAAGTATCCTCCAGGTGTGGGACACTCTAGCAGAAAATTCTCAGCACGTGATAATCGCCGGGGACTCAAATTTAAATCTGTGCGCAGAACCAATTATAAAGAAGGTAAGAGGTGACAAGAGGGTTTCGGTAGGGACGTTCCCAGTACATTATGTGGAAGGAGTCATGAGCTAATGAACGAAACCTCGTGATAATTGCGGGTGGTCTAAACGATGTCTTAAATTAAGAATCGGCAAGATTAGAGGCCACACTGGCGAATGGGGTCGATACATGCACGCCATTTCCCATCGGGTACAGGTAGTGATATGCACGATATCAGAGGTGCCGATGTGTGACGGCAACAAGCAAATAGCGGTTGTCGACGCAAACAAACAGACATGGCAGTTGAGTAGAGAGAAAGACTTCGAGGTAGTGGAAATAAATAGGTGGGGTGGTTTTCAACGAGACAGAATTCACTTCGATAGGAGGCTAGGTGACGAGGTGGGTTAGCGACTAGAACGCGCAGTAGCTTTTTTTAGGGGGGAGGGGGGGGGGAGGCACGTGGGCTTTTGGTGGTCTAGGCTAGCTAGTAACGAGCAAAACAAGTAAGGGACTTTGACAGGCGGTATAGACAGATCCAAGGAGAGGAGAAGCTGTAGGTATGTGGGTTTGTAAAAACACATCTTAGGTATATGTAACAACCACCTAGCAATCCGCAGTGCGCATGGGAATATTCTAATTGAACAGAAGCCAGCAGAAAGGTGGGTGATATTGGGGCATTTATTCATAAAAGTAGAGACTGGCAAAGAGTCAAGAAGGAGTTCAGGGAACATTTATGGTTAAAAGGCAAAGTGGCAGGGCAAATTACGCTCTTGAGTTTTGTATATTTGTGGGCAGGGGCAAAAGACAGAGAGGAAAATCAATAAATGATGCAGTGCATAAAAAATGACATTCATGAACCAGAAGAATAGTGCGAAGTAATTATATTAGCAGATATGAATGCGCACATAGAAGATATGGTGGATATATTAACTTAACAGAGAGAGACGGCGCCTTCTCATACCCGCGGTGTCCAGCGTACGTCCGTGCCCCCTGGAACGGTTCCAGCTGTCCTCTCCCCCTCACACTATCTCAGCAATCATGTGGAGGTACCGGCGCATAATAACCATTGCACTGCCACCACTATGACCTCTCTCCTAACACTTTCTTAGCAATGACGTGATTGCCGAGAAAATGTAAAACAAAGAAAAAAAGGACGTGGAATATATATAGTCACTCGAATGGCCACGGGCTTTCGTCGAACATACTTGGAAATTTGCAAAGCGTTTTTTATTGTTATTTCTTAGGTTGTAACACCGTTAAGTTGTAAACACTGGCTGATAAATATTCCTTTCTAGAGTTATCTCGTACGATTTACTTAGCCACGACTTATCTTGGTGTTGGAGCGAAGGCTACGGATGCGGGGCTTACGCACATTCTTCAAGAACGGCAGCTTGCGGTTGCTTTCTCTTTCGCTCGCTCGAATTATTGGCACGTTTACAAAACTATATACACAAAAAATCAATGATGGAAACATTTGAATCGTTTATAGTACAGTCTATTATGATATTCATATCATATTTGTCCTTGCAGAACTAAACAGTGCGTTTGCAATGGCTCACTGACCCTCTACGTCACAGACGCCAAGTTTACTTCAGAGTGCAGGCGTCCTGACAAGGCTAGACTAGAAAGAAAAGGAAGACATTCTTGCAAAGTGACCAAAAAGCGTATTTTACTTTCGTTTTCCCACGACTGTGTGAGTCGCATAACAAATAAACCAGTATTTATTCCAGCATTGCAACACAAATCAGAAGGCCGCCAACAAAGTTTAGTACTATTTT